ATATAAATATATATATATATATACAGGTTTGGGATTCCATACCTGCAAGCATACTTTTTTTTACATTTAAAAAAAATGCATGTTTCTATACAAAATTGCCACCTATGAAAATTGTTATGTTTTTTTATGAGATTAGGTTGTCTTGGAAGCCATTTTTGGACCGTTTCTCATTGTACTTAGAATTTTTTTTGGTCGTAATAAAAAGCAAGGTTTCACTCAGAAATACTACTAAGTACTACTAAGTCCTCTAAGTACCAACAGATCTCTGTTTGTTTTTTTGTTTTTTTCACGCTCACTGATTTTCCCCTGTCATTGATGTAAAGTTCAGCCGTGTTTAGTTGCAGTGTCATTTTTCCTGTACCTAGAATCAAAGGCTAAAACCATCCACAGAGGCCAATTCAACACAGCAGGATGCAACGAGAGGATGGAAAGTGTCTTTTTTGAACTCCAGGTCTGTGGTGTGTCAGATGGCCCTCTATGAGATCTGTACAAACGAGGCTGCTGGGGAAACAACAGTGCTGGTAGTAGTTTTAGCATTACAATGTGCATAAATGACATTGTCATGGCAAAAAAGAAGGATATTGTTCCGCTCATAGGTGCTGCCGGTCTTATGCTCCTGAATATCACTGCAACAATTGCAGGAAATGGTTTAGATTAAGCCGAACACACATTCAATGCCCACACATTCATCGAACAACCAAGCAAACTGGATCAAACTGGGTCGTTTGCACAATATTTCTCTTTCAGAGGTGGGAAGTGAAGGAAAAACGGTGGAATGCAAATGGACTGACTGGACAGATTGAATTCAAATTGAGCTGCTGTTTTAATGGTTGGTTAGAACAACTCTTACGGTTGAGTTCGAGCTTTAGACACGCACCGCAGAAGGGAATGAGAAGAGATCCTTTGAATGCAGCTGCTATGTCATAGTTTATTGTTCCACATCCGTGAGAACAATTTAATCACATCAAGCTCAGTAGGTTGACCGAGAAGTTTTTAGTAAGCCCAAATGAATAAAATTTCCTTTTAATGTGACCTAATAATTGAGTTTAATAGCACAGACAGAAAAAAACATATGAGAGACTGTGAAAAAAAGTAGAACTCGTTTTATTATTACCTTATGCATCAGCAATCAAATGTGAATTTGAAAGAAGCCACACTTGCAGGTTTGAAGCAATCTTTCATTTTGATTCAATCCTATTTCCAAGACATGTGTTGCATATTTAATGCAAGTCCTCATTCTGAATGAGGGGAATAGCTAATCAGGATATGAATATTTAATTCCTTCAGTTTATTCACCTTGAATCCCAATTTACAGGGCATGGAAAGACACTGACATGTAATAATTGATATAATTCCTGATTTTCTTTTTTAAAGCACTTTGTTATATGATTAGGTTGGGGAAAAAGATCAATAACAGAAAGCTATCAGGATACGTTTCTGCAAAACAGCCAGGTTACGAGCAGCTTTCCTCGTGCACCTGCTGTTTCCATGGTGATTGTGATTGGATAGGTAGTGGGTAGTTAGCACCAGGCCCAATCAGGGTCTATTGGCGGGGAGGGGTGCTGTAAGACAGTTAGCCAACACGCGGATGACACTTCGATAAATCAAACGGCGGGCAATCAGAAAACGATCTGGGACTAATTGCTCTTGGTGAGGAAGAGACATGGAGAATCAATGATTTCTAGCTGTGGATGCAAAAAGTCTTGTTAGACCTAAGTGAGGTTAGCATCGCATGATTCATATGACTTCATTATAAACTTTAAGTTTATGGTGAAGAACATGAACACTATCAACACCATCATAGACACCAACAAAAATGAATCAGAACTATTAACAATTTTAAAAAGGTTTCAAATGAATGCATTGTGACAGAAAATATAAGCACACTCTCTCGCTCTCTCTCTCTCTCTCTCTCTCTCTCTCTGTGTGTGTGTGTGCATCTCTCTCTCTATGCAATTGCAATAAATTCCTCAGACACTGTAATTTCTCTAATTTTTTCTACAAATGTAAGTTCTTCTGAAGATCCATAGTTACATTTTTTTATTACAAATTAAAAGTGATCATGTCAATATATAATTTAATATTTTTGAGTTATAGGATTTATGTATGTATGTATTGTTATACAGCTACAGTATGTCATAAGTATTCAACCCTTATTCAACATTTCTGTTTTTAAGTCACTTATTTGTATGGTAGTATGTTTAGAAGTGTTTTTTTTTTTTTATCCACTCAAATGCATATTAATACAATTATAATAGTTCATCGATGTCTTGGTTTCTTGGCTGAATTGTTTTCATAAAATTATATGTATATTTATACATTTTCTTTGATAGCACAGTTATAGTATAATAATAAAAAAATTGTGTATTACTTATTTTTGTTTTATGATTTTATGTTTTTTTTAGATTATATTTTAATTATATATTATAGTATCATCTGATTTAAGAAGTGATAATGTCATAATTCTGAAAATAAATAAAATGCAATGGTTAATTTGTGTCGATAAAATTCTAATGACCATCCCTGACATATTTCTAAACTGAAATCTTCCCCCATATTTTAAGAAAACATCAGCAAATCTATCCAAAAATCACTCCTGATGACAATTTAATAAATGCAATGGAATTTGTTTAGCACTTCTACTGAAGTGCACTCCCTTTATAGTGGATATATTCACTGGCAGCCCCAAATAACTGATCTATTTTATTACATCTATTTGAAGCCTAAAAATAAACTGCAATAAAACATAAAAATAACTGCTGTGGTCTTATCCGATGTGCAAAATCAGATGGTAGAGAGGTTCCTCTCAGCACAGAGAGACCACTGACCCATAGTGGGCACTGATATCACTATAATGACAAGCTTCCATGTCAACAGCGCTGGAGAGCACTTGACTGCGAGGGTGAGTAAGAGATGGCCTCGAGGCCTGTGCCAGCACTGTGTTTTTCATTTATCTAAATGAACGGAGGATGCATCGCACTCTTGAATTTGCATTCCTGCCCCATGCTGTTCATTAATGGCTGATGAATGCAGCTGTGTACGAAAAAGGTTTGTTAAAGTCCTTTAGCATGGTTCATGAATACTTTCTGGCTTTCATTTTCTCTCTCCTCCTCCTCCTCCCTGCCATCGTGGCGGCGTCTAATGTAGGTCATCTGTCAACCACCCACCCATTATTCTCTGTTACCTTTATGGCAGAGAGTGAAGCAGGAGTTTTCACTTTGCCTCCAGCCAAAGGAAACCTTTAGACCGGGTCTGACTCCGAGGACCACTGTAGCCCAAACCATGCGCAAATACCTCCCACATCCACAGCTGTCTGGACTTTGATGGAGCCATTAATCTTGCCCCGTGTTTAGGATTTGGCCTTACTGTACATGTCTGTATGTTGGGCCAAATATAAAATCATACAGACAAATTAAATGTAATCTTGGATCATACTTTTAAGTCAACATAAAGTTCTCTTCGCAAGCCTAAAACAGGATATTCAACAATAAAAAATGTATGGCTATGTTTTATCCTTTGAGAACTGATTGGCTACAATTGGCTTTCAGTCTGAAAAGTACAGTCCGACAAAAATAGTTCATTTTTAATTTTTAATTCTTTTTTTTTTTTAGTTTATGCCTAAAAGAGTTTTACCCCCATATATCACATATAATTTGCTCGTCCACACAATAAGACGACAGATACATGCACAATATATCTGTATAAACTCTGAACCATTTTATGACAAGCTACTTTCTGTGGCACAGATACTGTGAGTTCTTGTGACATCTGGAGAGAGCCTGAGGAACCGATTCCAAAGGTCATTTCTGCCCTGTTGTGGTGGATGTAAAGTATTACAACAGCAGTAATAATAATAGGGAAAAGACAATTTAGCATTCCTCATAGTGTATCCACATCGACAAATAAGCATATCTGGGGTCCTTTAATAATAATAATAATAATAATAATATATCTATACAAATCTATATCTATAATAATTATTGTTATGTTTGATTTTATATACACATATACACTACTGCTCAAACCTTTGGGGTCAGTAAGAATTTTCAATAAATTCATCATTTTATTCACCAAGGATGTATTCAATTTACCAAAATTTACAATAATGATATAATGCTACAAAAGTTTTTACAATAAATTAATGATGTTCTTTAGAACTTAATAATAATAATAATAATTATTATTATTATTATTAATAATAATTACTATTATTATTATTAAAAGCTCCACAAATTATCAGGCAGCACAACCGCTGCTGAAAATGTAGCTTTGCCATCACAGGAATGAATTACATTTTAAAATATAATAAAATAGCAACCTGCCATTTTAAATTGTAATAATATTTTGGAATATTACTGTTTTTACTGTATTTTTGATCATATAAATGGAGCCTTGGTTAGCTTACCAAACAGGATGGCTGCCACATCAGCCAACAAAAACTGATTGCACTTTCAGGGAGTGTAATTTTGTCCATGGGACCAAAAGTGCCCATAGTTGAAGAAACAACCTGACATTCATGTATCAGTGGGTGATGCAACCAGATCAAAGTTCATAAATGGCTTTAATTTCTCCATACTCGATACTGTACCATGTGTTGACAAATGTCCTTGATCATCTTGCTTGTCTCTCACTGAATAAACTCTAATCTGGTTGCATCACCCGCTGATATGTGAATGTCAGGTTGTTTCTTACGATACGTTTTGGTACCTTAGGGTTAGGGTTAGGTTTGGTATCTAGAAAGAAAGCAGAGAAAGAAGAGAAGACAGCAGTCATTTTGGAACTCGCCCTTTGTCCTTTCCTGTTATTGTGTGAGATGAAAGTGTGAATCGAGAAGTTTGACTTCTCTTAAATGTAAACATCAGATAAAACTTTATTTTCTTTTAAACTTGTGGGCAGCCACGAAGTGTTCTGGTATAAAAGCGTCCTCCATTTGACTTTAGTAAATGATTCACTTTTTGATCACCCACTATACAAACAGAGAAAAAAAAGCCCCAAAAACTAAAGCTCAAGTCAGTTTGTGAGGCGAGCTGAAAATGAGAGGTCCTGTACAAATCATCAGCTTTTCCTGCTTCCTGTTTTCTGTTACCTTTGTGCAAGGTCAAGGTGGGTTTATTAATTTTCAAATGTAGAATGTTATACATATTATATGCACTTCCAACACTTTTTAATGACCTTAAGTGGTTTGAGAAGGTGTTGACTAGTTCATCTTTTTGTGCATTTATTTGTGCTTCTCAGAATGTTTTGGAGAGGACATTACATATGAAAACACACAACCAGTTGTAAATGTTTCATACGCTGATGGTGAAACAGTAAACGTGAACTGCATGACAGGTTATATCGGCTTTTATACGTTACAGTGTAAAAATGGGCAATGGCTGACATTCATTGCACGAAGATGCTCAAGTAAGATAATTGCTAATATGACTACATCATTTTTTTGTTATTAAATTAAAACTGAGCAGATTTGCATTCATCACAGTAACACTTGCTTGATTTCTGTAGGGAAAAAATGTGGTCACCCAGGGGAAACACCAAATGGTTATTTTAAACTTATAGAGGGGAGAGATTATACTTTTGGAGCAATGGTGGACTATACTTGCAAGACAGGGTAAATGTGCTTTATGCACAGCGTTTCATTTGCTTCCCTCTATTCTCTTTGTGAATTCAGTTCAAATATGTCCTCTTCAACTTGACACTGTTTCTACTTAAAAACTTTGTGTTTGTAGGTACGAAATGACAAGCAGAATCAATCGGCGTCACTGTAGAATCAAAGGGTGGGATAATTCTGTCCCTGTCTGTGAGGGTAGGCTTTCTTGAAAGTCTGTTTGCACTGTTGTCATTTGATTTATTAAGGTGCTGTAAGCGATTTTTATAGCATGGTACATGAAAAACGATTCTAATCTCTGAATGATACCACTGAAATATTTCCGGCCAGCTCTGTAACAGCCTCCATGTAAAACAAAAACATTGTTTTGCCAACCAGAAGGCTTTTGAGGCGCTTTCTGCCTGTGAGTCATTTTGCGCATTCACAGCAGGCACTCCACATTTAGTTGGAAATCGTACACTGCGAGTGTGATAGATCAACTTGAAGCGCTTTGCATGAGTTTGGACAATGCGAAATGTTCACGACCAATGGACAATGAGCATTGCTACAGCTTCTTTCACGATCAAGTGAGACGAAAGCTCCAAAGCATTTGAAAACAGATGCTGAGCTTGATTTGCTCCTGCTTAACACCACAGGTAAACATAGCCTACCTTGGTTGCGCCAAAAAAAAGGTGGGAGTTGAAGAATTAAGGGGGCATGTCTAAATCGGTGACAAAAGAGCAGCTAACATCACTTACAGCACCACAAGGGTTGCCAGGTTTCCCAAAGCACAGTGTAGAACGTTAGCAACATGCTGGTTGGATTTAGGGGAACTTTACACAATACCGTTTCCAACTAAAAACTGAAAACCTTTTATGCGTTTTGGCCATTCATTTACACAACAACAACGTTTTGGGTGCACAAACGAGATGTCTTTAGAGAAGTGCTAAAATGGAAATTTGTGTGCTAAATGAGCACCTTCCGCACTATTTAGTAAGTTGTAAATAAAACAAATATTACTGGAGAATGTTTTCAGAGAAAATACTACATAAGTCTTTCTACATTCACGTTTAATTCAGTGAGTTACTTGCTTTTCTTTGTATTAACTAGGAAAATTACTAGCAATTTCTGAGTGATTTTTTTTCTACACAACTGTTCTAGTATGATCTCACTTCCCCATCTTCATTCTCTTCATCTTCCAGTGGCAGGTTCAGTAGCCTTGCGTGTAGCAGGACAGTCACATTTTGCATGGTGGAAGTTACAAGAAGCAAATGTACTCTGCTTAGACCTCTATTTAACAGTGGTTCTCTATATATATATATATATTAGTGGTCTATAGACATATTCTGTAGGTCGCTGCAATGCCGTAGTGCAAAATTTTCATGTAGGGGAGATAAACATCAGAAGAAATCAGTAAAAAATTGGGACCTGACAGCTCCCGTTAACGATGTGCTTGAGTTGTACTTAATAGTGAGTGGTCTACATGCTGGTTTGGGAAACAGGCATTGCTCCAATGTTAAAATAACATTTCATGGAGAGCGATTTATCAGGAAACCCAACCTAAATCAGTTTATTTATTTCACAGAGGTGAGATGCCCTGTGATTCACACAGATGGGGAGGTGACTGCATCGGGCAACACAAAGGAAGGAACTTATGGCGATGCTATTCACTTTGAGTGTGTATCTTCTGACAAAAAGCTAGACGGAAATAGTGTCATTTATTGTACGGAGAATGGCGTTTGGAGCGGGCCTGTTCCACAATGCATAGGTTAATACCACAGTTTCTTGATTTATTAAAGGGTCAGTTGAAATGCTCAGAACCTAATATAACTAATCCTGGAAACATCATGTATAGCATGAATACAGTCCGAACATACACAAAGCAGTTGGTCAGATGGATAGTATGTCTGAATATGCAGTATTCATAAAACAGCAAGCAAAATTTTATCACAGTTTGACAACTCTTTTTGACATACTTGACGTTTATTTAAACTTAGCTTTGCATTATTATGTCTTTACAGTAACTTGTCAGCTTGAGTTAACCGAACCTGAAGTAATAAAAACCATTCCATGGGGAAAAACAGTTTTCAAAGCTGGAGAAACGGTGGGGATTATCTGTTCTGGCAAAAACCGGGTCTTTAATAAACAGGAAACATTTACTTGCACAAACAATGGGAAGTGGGATTACAAGCCTACTTGTGAAGGTAAAATTGTAGAGAAACACTTCAGGATTTACTGCTGACTTCATTGTGTGTTATCAAAAGCATGTGAATCTTGTTTCAGAGAGTAGATGTGAAGTTCCACTTAACCAGCACGTGTATCTCCCAAAATATTACTTTAGTGGAGATCTGAATTTGGGAGCAAAGAGATCATGCAGTTGTGAGTCTGGATATCGTGAAACAGCAGCAGAGGCCACATGTACACGAGACGGATGGACACCGAAACCACTGTGTACTGGTATGTTCTGTCCTGGAGTGTTAACATCTTCACAAAGACATATAATCTAAATTCTATGATTATGTGGATGTTTGTTTTCTAGAAATTATGTGTGACCCACCAACAATCCCAAATGCAAAGATTGTGGGAAGTCAAAAATCTAATTACAAAATCGGTTCAAGAATAGAATATAAATGTCGTCCTGGATTTGAACCAGAGGAGCCTGTACAAATCACCTGTGATTCCCAGGGCCAATGGACAGGCACACGGCAATGCAGTGGTATGGTACAGCTTGATTTTAGTTTATTGCATCATAAATCTCTATAAATACTTTTCATTTGTAAGATGCAACATACATTCTGATTGAATGATCCATGTTTCAAGTCATAGTTAAATTATTGGTGTATGTGTGCAACTATGACAACACATCAATTGAATTTTATATTAACGTAATACTAATAAAAATGACTATTGTTAATGTATTGTTGAGTATTCAAAAATAAATTATCTTCTTGTACACAGATGGTACCTGTCAGGAGCAAGAACTCAAAAATATAGAAATTCTATTTGGATATCCGAGCACCGCTTTACCTTATAAACCTGGCCATATCTTAGTTTTTCGATGCACTGATGACAACATGAGGTTTTACGGCCAACGTGCAATTGAATGCCTGCCAGATGGGAGGTGGAATTACCCATATCCACAATGTGGAGGTACAGACATATTCCACCAACTTTCTGTTGATTCTATTATGTGTTATACAGTTCTATAAATCAGAATCAAAGTATTAATCATATTTAATAATTGACTACCATCAACATTAACATCTTACATTGAACTAATTGTATCTTGTATATATTTTGCGTCCTCTAGGAAAGGTTCAGTGTTCCCAACCAACAAAGAACTTGCAGTTTGTGACACTGTCAGATGAGAAAACTGAATACAGCAACTTTGAGATACTGACATACACGTGCAATAAACCGTACAATGAAATTCCAAGAGGAGTTTTGATGTGTCAAAATGGAAAATGGAACGAAACGTTTGACTGCAAAAGTGAGTCACCAAGAAATTTTGCATTCATATTCCATTCAGTTTAATCACAGTTTTGAGTTATTGCAGAAAGATCTGAGACACAGAAACATTCACACAGAAACACGTTATAGGAAAATTGCCTACTTCCCTCTTCTGAAATTGTAATTACGAGTTTGTCACGTTCAAGTGCTTTGTTGTCAGAAAGAACAGGAATCATGGCCCGTTCATGAATTCATCCTTGCCTGTTCCTTGGGGAAATCTCATAAAAGGTATAAAAGATATTTAGTCAATATCCAACAGGTTTTGAATAAAATGTAGCATTCCATTCATTGGTAACCATATAAACATTCACTGCACTGTAGATATTAAGCTTGCTGACGATTCTGCAATTTCGGTCAAATAAATGCTATTTTCGCTTTGTTCACTGCATAATGGCAAGATAAAGCAATGTAGATGCTGTGGGGAAAACAAATAAAACTTTACAGTACTAAAGCTATGTTTCTCCCCTCTGCCATGTTTCAAATTTGACTTGGAAACTCGGGTATCAAAATTGTCTCCCAGTCTCCCAGTTGTAAATACGACTTGAGTGGCCCTTCATGTACAATTTGGGATTAGGAAACTTTCTTTTTTTTTTTTTATAATTTCAAAAGCATTTGAAAGCAGCATTAATCCTACATTATAGGCTATTTCCTGATGTGAGAACCCTAATGTATGGCAGTATATTGAGTCTGTGCATTAGCTCTTAAAGGGACAGCAGCCTAATATACCTGCTGCTGTCTGTCATTTAATGGTAATTAAACAACCGAGAACAAAAAGAAAATCACCCACAGCTCTTGGCTGAATAACTTTTGTAGCATTAACAAAGATTATATATTGAATTTGTAGAGTGAAGACTATACAGTGTTATTTTATATTTGATTATTCGATTTCTGTACCTGAATACTACTATGAGACAGACTTAAAAACTTATAACACTGTTTATTTCATTTGTACGGTACCTTTGTTTTGTATTTATTTGTGCTACTGCTTGTAATTTGTTTATTTGTATTGAAACTGGACATGATAACTGAAACATTAGCATAATTTATTAGAACATGAGGTTACATGAGTCAACAAAATGAAAAAATTTTTTTTTTTTTTTGGTGGCGGGACCAATGAAAATTTTGACGAGTCAACTTTGACATGCCCCACCGGGCCAGTAGAAACTATCCTTAGCATTGAGCCCTGCTCTGTCTAATTCAAAACATGGAGAAGGCTAGATCTAACAAGATTCAAGATTCAAGATTCAAGAAGCTCCTCCTAAGTCTCTCGGTTTTTGCCATCAGGCTACGGAAGCGCTTACCAGATGGCAGCAAAATGAAAAGACAGTTACCAGGGTGGTTGGAGTCCTTGATGATTTTAACAGTTCTGTTTTTGCAGCGTTTGAGGTAGATGTCCTGTAGAGGCCAAAACAACTGATGAAAATAACCATCGTCTTTACCCTTCCAGTAAAAAATTGTGCTTGAAACATCAATGACAGCTTTAACTTGTCAATGCCCATAAGTGACCATGTTGGGTGGGATAATTAGCTGCACCTCAAGTGGTTCTTTGCCTCCATGTTGTGCATTAAAATTGTGTAATGCATACCTATAGCCATGGTGTCACGATCTGTGCTGGGAGGAGCGAGGAACAAGGAGACTTGGAGTACATAAACAGTCTTTAATCCTTGGAAACACAGGGGAATTACACAACATCCAACGAGTAGAACCGACAAAGGAAGACTGAACAAACAGGAACTTAAATACAAGAGATAATTACTCAACACAGGTGTCAGGAATCATAATCAAATTAAACGAGGGAGGTGACGAAGGAGGGAGGAGCCAGGGAGGAGACAGGAGGGGCTTGGAGCAGGAGCAGTCCAGCTGGACCCAGACCACAGCCATAATGACAGCCTACGGTGGAGCCGACGGAGGGAGGAGCCATGGAGGAGGAATGGCCGCTGACTCCA